ACACAACACACATAACACAAAAACACAACCTAATAGCCACACCTACATCCACATGCAGACCAACCTGCATTCACACTCAGACACATGCAAATAAACTCCCAGTCACACAGGGATGATCACAAACTCTGACAGGCTGTTTTGTATCCAAACATCATGGACTCTAGAGCTCCACAGGCCCCTCTACACCCAATGTGTCCCTTACACTCCACATGTGCTTACACATACACACAAACACACATGCCCTGCCTGCCACCTCAGCAGCTCTTAGTAGAGGGTGTCTCCATGGAGCCCCCCACTCACTGGCACATGCACCCCCCTGCACGTGGACACACACGAGGCTGGCACCTCATTCCATCTGGCTCCGTAGAACCCTATCCTGGGACAGATGCTTTGGGGTAAAGTTTCATAAAGTGGTGTCTCTAAACCCCAACTCCCAATTCCATGGAGGACAGTTACCTCTGACCCTTTCTTGCTCCAGAGCCACTCTTATTCATATTTTCTCCATCTCTCCCCCTCCCTACCTCCTTCACACACACACAGCCTTGGTGGGCCAAGACACTCTCCCTCTCCAGGGTCCTGAACCAGCCTACCGCAGCCTTGAGAGCTCCTCCCAACTCCTTAGCAGACCTCCCCCTCCCCACACCCCACCTCGGCCCTTGAAGAGACGGTTCAGTTAGATCACCAGCCCCTCCTCCAACCAGCAGCCCCTTCCATGGGATGCCAGCCTCATCACCTATTAGATTGACATTAGGCACCCTTATCCTGCTCAGAGGTATCCCGCCCCCACCCCAGGCTGCAGTCCAGCAACACGGGGAGGAGGGGTGCCCAAGAGCAGGATCGATCCTTCCACGTGGCTCAGCTCCATGCCAACCCCAGCTCCTTGGAGGGACTCCCAGGACCCTGTCTGTGGCACCTCTCACAGCCGTTCACCACCCCAGCCCCTCACTATACTCACGGCTCAGCCGGTCTCGCTGCCGGGTACTGCTGGCTCCTGCAGAGGATGGAGTGGCCGCAAGCCTGCCCCATCACTCCTCATCGTCCGTCTCCCCAGCCAGACTAAGGTGGCACCTTGCCCTGTCCCCGCTGCCTGGAGTTTCGGGCAGGGCACCTCCAGCAGGCACAGGGACCAAGAGCGGTGGGATGCCCCCCACTCAGCCTGGACTCAACACCCCAATCCAGCTCTGCTGCCCCACTGCTCCCGCCTCTCCCGCTGCCACTGCCTCTGCTGCTCGGCTGGCTCTGGGAGGAGGTTGGAGCAGGTCTGATAATGCAGAAGGGGGAGGGAGGAGGGAGGAGAAACAGAGAGAGGCCCAGACAGAGAAGGAGAGAGGGAGGGGTAGAGAGAGAGTCTGACTGAGAGAGAGGAAAAAAGACTCACACACAGAGACTGAGAGATAAAGAGAGACAGGAAGGGAGAGAGGAACACATGAAGAGGGAGAGGAGAGAGGGATCAGAGCCTCACAGAGATCAAGATGGAAGTACAAAGAGATCAGAGAGGCACAGGGAAATACGCACACACAGAAGAACAAAGACATAAAAGGAAAAAAAAATCAGAGGCAAAAATAGAAAGAGAGCAGGGTAGGGGGAGAGGGGAGTGGCTGACAGAGGAGAGAGGGGTGAGGATGAGGGATTTACAATCCTCATGGGCTAAGATGGGACTGGAAACTCAAGGAGCAGCAGACCTAGACCCTCTGCTGCCCCATCGCAAAAGCCTTCAGGATGAGGAGACACACTTGTGCCCTCCTTGAGTCCAAGAGGTCAGGCCTCCATGCACAGCTAGCCACCCTCTCCTCTGGGCTCCCTCACCTGGTGTCTATCATGTCCTAGAGTGCACCCTAGCATGGAGTTGGGTCCATGGAAGACTCAGGGGCCTTGTCACAGGACCACCTCTTGGTGGTTCAGCTTAGCTGGCCTTTGGACTCAGAGCCTTGTCACAGGGCCACCTCTTGGTGGCTCAGCTTAGCTGAGACTCGGAGCTGAAGTGTGAGCATGGATTTCTACCAGGATCTGTGGACACCTAGGCTACAGCCCGCCCCACTGGCCTTTGCTGCCCACAGACTACAGGCATGGTGGAAGGCCTGCTGTACCCCAACTCTGCTTCCAAAGAGCGCTCCTTAGAATAAAGCTTTAACCTAATGAAATAGAGGCATTTTAGGCCCTAGGACAGAGAGGGGGTTGTCCCGGCAGACCTACTATTGTACGGAGAAAGAGTTCCACACCTTGAGGCAGGAAATGGGGATTTAAATCCTGGCTTCACCATTAATTTACTTATTCATTGGCCTACCAGTGGCTGACCCCATGGCTCACACTATCCCTTGTCTCAGAGAAGCGCTCGGACTGCGAGGGAGAAGGAGAGACTTGCAGGCTATGACAGAACACAGGGTTTGTAAAGCCCAGAGGGACCCCCTGACTCAGTGGGGGTGGGAGTTGGCAAGCATTTCTGGAAGAGTGGGTATATTCCAAAGAGCTACAGCAAACCCTCTGCAGCGACCCCATCTCTCTGAGCTGTGGGGAGAATACCCCCGACCCATAAAACAGGCTCCAAGCAGAGAAATCCATGAGGCGGAATGGAAACCTGACCCATGCTGAAGAATACAGGGGGTACACACTGGAGGGGCAAGTCCAGAAATGACCGAGCTTCTCCAGACGGCCAGCCCAGGCTGGGTGCTGCAAAAAGCTGTTGTCTCATGGCCTGGGAAGTGTCAGGAAAGAAAATGTGAGGAGGCTTTGCTTCCCAGTGTGGCCCCAGAAGGCATTATAGAATTTTAGACATCTGAAAGCTCTGGGCAAACCATTTTCTCAAAGGGAATGAGGCCCAGGCTGATTGTAAACCAGCTGAGCCAGCCCAGAACTTGTGTCTTGCTCCTCTGCCTCACCTATCACTGGGGCCTCGCTGCTCCATTCCTACCAGGTAGGAAGGTATTCTCTGGGCTCAGAAAGCTGCAGTCCTCCAACATGGCCAGTCCTGGTCCCTCACAGCTCCCCTTCACGCCTTGGGAACCCGCTTAAGGGTCCAAGGAAGCTGGCAGCAAGAAGCTGAGTCAGAAGAGTTCAAAGGAGGATGCCTCCTGGATGTGGGTGGACGCAGGTGCAAGGAGGTCTCACCTGGCCCTCAGCCTCCTTTCTGCCCTCCCACTCCAGAAACAATGGTGGTGGCCTCATCCTCAGAAATCTCCTGGGAATACACCCAAACAAGTAGGTGGAAGGGAGGGTCTCCTCCCCATCCCAGTGCCACACCAGACTCCACAGCCACCCGGAAGTGGAGAGTCTGCAGGGGCAAGATGCAAGATCCAGGACTCAGAAGGGCCAATGGGCACTCAGGAACTTAAATCCCAGCTCTGCCACATGCCTGCACAAGGTATTTCACCATCCTGAACTTCAATTTAGTTTTCTCATCTGAAATATGGGGTCAAAAATTCCAAGCTCAAAAGGCTGTGAGGTTTTGGGTATGTCTGAAAAGTTCCCAGTAAATAGTTGCTCCTCCCCTCCCATCTGCTTCCCTGAAGTCGAATTGATGGAGCCAAGACAGTAATGGCCCCAAATGTTGGGACAGGGGCTCTTGTGGGCCGTGCCAGGATGGCGTAGGTGCATAAAGGGGAGAGAGCTGGAGACAATCCAAGACTGTTCTTCCCTCCTCCGCCAACTGCCTGCCTGCAAGACCTCTCCCAGCCGGAGCCAAAGGCCCAAGTGATCGGACGGCGGTGCCCCGCCCCCGCCCCCGCCGCAGGCCGCTCTCCAGGGTGCTGAGCCGTGAGAGCCGGGTTCACAGGCCTGGCCAGGCCCGCACCGCCAGGGGTCCATAGACACCGTTTTTTGTGAGCTGGGGAACTGAAGGTGGGATGGGAGGAGGGAGGATGCAGTTCTGGAATCTGGCCTCCGCGCTGCCCCCAAAGCCTTGGGAGAACTGCAGGCTCCACAGTCTTCAGCTACTTTACCGAAGAAGGCGGCTTCTTCTCAGCGCCCGCCCCCGCCCTGTCCTGCGCGGCTGTTTCCCTCCCACCTTCCAGACGGCCCCCTCCTCTGTCTCCCTCACTGGCGCACCCTGTCCTCGCCCCCTCAATATGGATGTTCCTTGCAGGACGCCGGCCCCGTCTCTCTTCATCCTCCACCCCACTCCCAGGGAGCATGCAGCCTCCCAGCATACCAACAACTCCGGGTGTCCTCTGCCGCCCACCCCTCTCCCTGGAGCTCCAGGTGTCCACACTGCCTCCTGGATATCTCCTCTGGAAACAACCCGTAGGCCCCTCATATTCAAATACTGAACATCCAATACACCTTTCGTCTCCATTAAAGGCATCAGCAAATTTCTAATCGCTGAGCTGGACACTTCAAAGTCGCCTTGCCCCGTCCCTCTCCTAAACTTCCTGTATCAAATCTGTTCCAAAGAACAGTAGATTCCCTCACATCTGTCCACTCCCTCCATCCCCATCCCCTGCTTCCTTCCCCCTCCCCTGGTCATGCTCCAGCCCCTACCCCAGGTCAACCTCTCTACTCCACCTCCACCTTGCACTTCGAGATGGCTCCCAAGACATCTGTCTATTCATAGAACTCCCCCTCAAAACCTTTGCAGGGTTCCTCATTGCCCTCAGGATCAACACCGAGCTCCTTAGCCTGGCATTTGAGGTCTCTTGTGATGCAGCCCCGACAGACCTTGCCCATCGTTGGCTCTAGGTGGGGCCAGGTCTGGTCCCTAAGCACATGCTGGTCCTCTCCTCAATTTTGTACAATATTTCTCCTCCCAGGCTGACTGACCCCTCCTCTTCCTTTTCTGTGCCCATCCCAAATCCTGGCCTAGCCTTGCTGGGCCAGTCAGCACACACCCTGCCTCCCACCCACAAGGACACTGGATTTTGGGCTAGAGACCCTTGGTGGCCTCTCCCTTCCCTAATGTGCCAGCTGTCTCACCACCGGCTGTCACTGCCCATCCCCCCCCTCAGTCTTATCTCATTTCTTCTACAGGATCCTACTTTCCTCAAAAGATAAGCCAAAGCCCTATTTACCTCAGCCCTAGTCCACAGCCTTTGAGGAGCCCCCAAGGAGTCCAAGCAGGAAATGTTGATGGAGGAGTATCAGAAAGGAGGAGGCAGATGGAAATGGGGTGGTGCACATCAGAGCTCAGCCCAGGGGCACACAGGAGCACGCGTCGCTTGCAGACAAAAAACTGCAGGTGTATGGGGATGCGGGCAGTAATGGAGGGCTCTCGCTTACCTGCTCTGTGAGCACCCCCACCCCAGGGCAGCCCTCAGCTCTCCGGGGAAAGGCTGGTTATTGGTGGAATGTGAATTTCATGAAGGATTGGTCTGAACACCCCCATGTGACTCCCTATGGCTGAGGGACAGGATAAGTCCACAATTGGGTCTTGGCAATGGGCAGGGGAAGGGGTGGAGTGGGAGCTCAGGGAGCTGTTCAACAGTGTTTCTCCCCACTCCTCTTCTGCCAGGAAGCTCCCCTCTGTGGCTCTGAGGACAATGGCTGAAGGAGGACCATGTCCTTGGGAAGAGCCTGGCATGGGTCCTTGCATTCTCACACTAAGCAAGGCCCCCATCACACAACAGGTGACAAGCTTTCGCTGATAAAGGAATGAAAGGCCACCACAGCCTCCACAGTAGTTCCAAGGTGAAGTAGCTTCTTCACACCTCAGGAAGGTGGCTTTGGGATTCAGAACCCAGGGCTGGGGCACGAAGGATCCACTTCAGGTTCCAGGATCCGTCAGAGCTGCCCTGTGAGGAAGGGGTGACCCCAGGTGAGGGCAGTGACCTCTCCATGGCTGCTAGGCAGGGAGCTGGGGGGCTGGAACAGATGGTGAGTTCAGGGAAGGGAGAAGTCGCCTGAGGCTGCCCAGCCCCTCAACTAAGTCCAGGGCCCTCTCCTGCCTACCTTGTCCTGTGGGGGGGGCGGGGGCTGCACTGGCCCAGGAGGGATGGCAGAGAAAAGGGAAAGGGAAGTCAGCCTGGAACGGGGCTGCCCCAGACACTCGGAAGTGCCATCAGCCTAAGGTTGAGATTATCTCCAGGGTTATAAATCAGGGAGCATGAGATGCTAGAACTAGTGAATCCAATCCCTCATGGTACAGATGGGAAAACTGAGGTCAGAGGGTGTCCAGGTAACCCAATAAGTGAAGGGCGGGGCTGATCCGAGGACCAGAGACACTGGCCATTCCCCCACCAGACTACTTACCCCTCTTCATACTCTTCCCCCTCTCCCTCCTCCACCCCCCACCACCTAGCTGGGACAGCGGCCCACCAGAGAATATCTTGTGACTCTGGGGATGGTCCCCAGGAATGTGGGATTCCAGCAGGGATGGGTCAGGGCAGCAGTGGTGCCTGTGGCTTCATATTCTGGGAAAGGCTCGCTCTTCTTGGGGCCTCAGCACCAGCCCCTCACCACCACCACCCTCCAACCCAGCATACCAGGGTCTTCCTTGCCAGGAGGCCCTGAACCTCCCACTCAGCCCTGAACCACCTCTTCCCCCATAATTCCCCACACCTGAGGGGGGATGGAGGGGGTGTGACTCAGTGGGATAAAGGCAGCTGCTATATTTGAATTATTACGTAAGCCAGGAGGGAGGCAGCTGCAACGTGACTCCATCAAGGTTGGGAGACAAGTTGAGGCTAGGCCCAAGAGGCAGGGGTCTCCTCCCCTCTGTCCCTAGAGTCCAGCCTGACCTGGGGATCTGAAACCAGCCTGCAGTGCTGCACTGCAACAAAGATCTTCCCTAGGTCTAACCACACTAGGAAGGCTCTGTTCTCTGTCTTCTTAGAAAAATACCCCTGGTTTCTAGAAACGCTAAAGCCAGACTATGCCCCAGATCCTCCCCCTACACTCTCTCCAGCAAGAAAGATGGGACTGAAAACTTTGCCATTCTTTTAAAAGGGCGCCTGATGGAGACAGCAATACACATGAGCCTTGGCTTGCCTGCCCCATCGGGGAGGGACCTGTGTTCCTGTCCTAGCTCCTCCACCTACCAGCCATCTTCCTCCTGGGTCCTGTTGGAATGAAATGGGATGACACATGCAAAGCCTTGGCACAGCAGGTGGTGGGCGCCCCACGATGCATCTCTAAGGGCTGGCTAGAGATGGTGGTGGGAACTGAGGCTGGACTGACTCCTTTGCCCCCAGTGCCCTCCTTCTGGGTGGAAGGTGGGAGACCAGAGAATACAGGTCTGAGAGTCAGGAGCTTGGCCCCACTTGCTGTGTGACCTTCAGTAAGCCCCAGCCCTCTCTGGCCCCCAGCTCTGGAGCTGGTGTTTGAGAGGATTTTCCAAATGGGATCAGTGACTTATGGCACTGGAAGCTGCAGTGACAAGCAAAGTTGGCTGGGGGCCTGGGGGGCTGTCCTGGGAATGGTGAGCTGGAGGCAGCTGTGATAGGCACCAGCACTAGGCCCACCTCCTTAGCGCCTCCTGGCAGCTCCTCCTATGGACCCCACACCCCAGGAGAAGGAAGTTGTGCCCGCCCGAACTGTGTTGCCATGACGCTGGTCTCCATGGTGCCAGACACACAGCCCTCCCCTAACCCAACAGGAGGGACTGAAGGTGACAGGAGCTGAGGAGATTCAGGACCTGGGGTCCCTTCCACTTGTCCCTATGCCTCCATCTGCCCTATAAGGTCCCCATCCTGAGCCTCTCAGGAAAGCTAGGAGGAGCAGTGTCCACTTCAGAGTCAAAAGAGTAACAAAGAGAGGCTTCAGAGTGACTTGTGTGGAGGGCAGATACACGGGAATACAGAGAGGTGGCAGGGCAAGGGGGAGGCAGGGAGAGCTGGGGAGGCAGACGGGTGGAGGGAGGAGGGCATGCCACAGTCACAGGGGAGGGAGTCCCAGGCTGACAAGTGGTGGGAGGCACTGTCCAGCCCATCTCTTTGGTCTCAGCGTTTGGAAGTGGGTGGTGGTGGGAGGACAGGGTGGAGGAGGAGGAGCAGGAGGGAGGGGGAGCAATTTTCCTAGAGAGCTCTGTGTGGGTGGTATTCATCCACGTGCCGTGTGTGTGTGTGTGTGTGTGTGTGTGTGCATGTGTGTGTATGTGTGCCCGAGCAGCATGCACTCGCAGAACTGGAGGAACAGGCTGAGGTGTACAGACACGTGTGTGCAGGCCTGAGTGTGTGTGGCATGTGTGTGCCTGTGCCACTGTGTCTCCAGGGTGATAAATACAGCAGTAGGAGCTGTAACCAGGGCAGAGAAAGTATGGAAATTTCCACAGGCTGTAAGTGGTGTGGGAGAAGGGACATGCTAGGGCTGGGCCAACTCTGGCTGACCAGGGGAACTGTCCCTGACCGTTCTTCCTACATGAATCCCTGGATGCAAGTCGGCAAGTGGTGACATGGGCATATACACATACTCTAAGAGGCACCATGGGATGGAAGAGCAACCCAGAAGAGCTTCCTAAAGGAGATGTTATACTGGAGGAAGTGCTGGGAGGTTGAGGCCACTGTACTTACGTGTGTGAGAGATGGTCCCCAGAGCAGGGTCAGGGTCACTTAGGTCACAGAGCTGACTAATAGAATAGGAACTGTTCCTTGTTCTGATGGGGGATGATCCCAATGAGCCCATTTGACTGGGATGTGGTCATATCTCAGAGGTAGGGGCTTGGGGGACAGGCCCTAGGATGCCATGGGGCACTGTGCCCCAGCCACAGCAGGTCACTTACTGCCATCCCCTTGCCTGTGCTCAGGCCACTTCCTCTGCCCCACTTGCGGAGAGCTGCCTCTAATTTCAGACTCACCTCCAATCTTTTCTCATCAACATCCTCCACCCGGAGGTCTCCACCTTCCTCCACACCACTCACTCATCTGCTCCCCCTCAGTGTTCAGTAAAGCTGTGCATACAGTCAATGTTCAATAAGTACTTGTTGAGTGCAAAAATACTGGGCCTAGGATATGCCATGATATCTTCTCAGACATTTGAAAAGGAGATTGGCAAGGGACAGTACTAGACACTTCACACTTACTAGCTCATTTAATTCCCCAGACCACTAGAAGGTAGCTACTATTAACACCCGCAAAGTACAGATGACAATATTGAGGATCAGAGACCTAAGTAACTCAGGCGAAGTCACACAGCTTATAAACAGGAGCACCGGCATCCACACACACGTGCTTTCCAAGACAGCAACCTGTGATCAGGTGGCTTGGAGGCCACCAGAGCACGGGGCCAGGAAAGAAGGCCCAGCTCTTGCCCTTTCCTGCCCTACTGCTTTCCTTCTCCAGAGTCCCCAGGAAGCCTCAGAACTCTGCAGGGTAGGAAGGTTATGCTGGAAGGAGGCAGGAGAGAGGCAGACATCCCACGTCACCTCCCTGCCCCCCTCCCCTCTGCCTCCTGGCCTCCCCTCCTGCAATGCCCTCACCATCCAGGTTCTGACATGGCTCAGCCTTCTCTTCCAGGGCTCCCCGTGTTCCGCAGGTGCCGGGCCTGGATTTGGGTTGGTCCTTGAAGCCCTGTCCTCCTCCCCCAACATTTCAACCTCTACCACAACTGTGCCTGGCAAGGCCTCTGGTCTTTGAGGCTGGCTCAGGATCACCTCTTCGTCCAGGAAGCCCCTCCTTCTCCAAGAGCTACTTTCGGCCCCTCTGAAGTTCCAGGTCTGGGCTCTTCAACCCATCCCTGGCAACCTGACCTCAAATAACATGTGAATGAGCAAACCACCCAGGGGCCCAAGAGGCCCCATTTTTAGGAATCCTTGTGACAAGGACCAGCAGAGCCTCCTGCCCCTAACCTATCCAACACTGTTTGTCACAGGCATATATCATTCTGACTGAGGCCCTGAGGCTCCTGTTAGGATGTCACCTCACCCTCTACCAGAGGGAAAGCACCTTATGCCATCACTCTCTGACAGTTCAAACCCCCTTGGCCTCAGGGAACAAGTCAGGCCACTTGTAAGAGGAGCAAAGAATTGGAATTAGGAGTAAGTCAAAGAGGGAGACTCCACCAAAGTAGGGCAGTGGGAATGGACCTCGGGCCTGCTTCACGGGCATCGTGTGGCCTTGGGAAAGTGGCCTCCCTTCTCTGGGCCTAGCTCCCCCTTGTCAAGAGCAGACAGTGCAGGAGACATAGGGGCCGAGTCACATCAGGCATTTGGTAGAAGGCTGTTCCTGCCTCTTCCTGGCTTCCAGAGCCCAAGACTCCAAAGCACATTCCTGTAGGTGCTGCCTTCCAGAATGTCACCAGCCTGCGGGCCGAAGGCAGAACTGGGTCCTGCTTCACACCCTAGCAGAGAAACGCCTGGGCCAGCACCACCACCCGGGTGTCCTCCAGGCCCTGCTTTGATTCTAGCAATGATGAGTGGTCCGTGGCTGCCGCCTTGTGGCCCAGCGCAGTACTGCAGCCAGCCCCCTGAGCTGGGGCAGTGGCCACAGCATAGCAGGGGGTGCCTCCAGTCTCACCCACTCAGGTGGGCCTCAGGGCTGGCTGAGCAGTGCAAGATCAGATCCAGGAGCAGATTCTGGACCCCAAGCCCTGGGATAAGGGGGTCCATCAGCCCTTTCCTGGCTGGAGGCAGAATCATACATTCGACCTGTGGATCTGGCCCAGAGTGGCCCACAGGAGGTGGGAAACTCAAGGGGATTGGTCCCAGCCTGTGAAAGAGGTCAGCAGGACTTGGGTAACTGGTTCCAGTCTCCTGGCATACGCCTCCCCTTCCTGAGAGACAGGGAGAGGAAACCTGGAGTCCAGGTCTCCAAGTGCCCTGCTGGACCCCAGGCTCCGCACTGAGCTAGACGCCTGAGTCAGAGGTCACATAGCTCATCCTCACCCACTCTGCCCAGCCCCACTGGCCTAATGAGGCTAAGGAGAGGAGGTCAACCTGTCCACACTGAGCCCCCGAAGAGTGGGTGGTAATGAGGGTCTAGGCAAAGGCGGGAATGTGGTATCTGGCACCTCCCCAGGAAGTCCCAAACCAATCTCTGAGCAGTTCATGATCTCCCCTGCAGGCCTGGGTCTCCTCTTCTTGGAAGAGATGGCCAGACAGTGCCCAGTGAGGACAGCCCCCAGTGCACAGCAGACCTCACCTCTGGAGGAGCAGGCACAGGGGCCACATGTGACTTGAAGGTCCTTCTTCCTACTCAGGCTCCTGTGGTCTGACCTTGTGTCTCCAGCAGGGGCTGCTGCAGGGCTGCTGGGCCTGCATCACTGACACACCACACCCAGGCCCCAGCTGGGACTCAAACTCAGACTGCAGCAGGACAGGGACTCAGGTCCATTCAGGGTCACTGCTGGCCAGGTTGGGACCAGCATCCTCAGCCCGGCTGCACAACAGTACAATGGGGGCATGGAGCCAGGACAGGGCTCTGCTTGGGAAAGGGGGTCATCTGAAGAGCTCAGGGCCTGGAAGAAGCAAGGCCTAGGTTCTCAGCTTCAGGCACTAGATACTCACCCCTGGGCGTCCTAACCGCCTGTCCCCTACCCCAGGACGCCCAATCCCCTTAACCAATCACAGGCCTCAGCACCTTAGGGTAAAATATACAGATATATTTATATTATCATAAGCCCCCAAAGTGGGGAAGGGGCTTCGGGTCATCTGGACCTCCCAATCAGCCCAGACTGGAAGGCGGGCTGAAAACCCCAAAGCGCAGCTCTCAGCCCTGAAGAAGCTCAGCCAAGAGCTCCCTCCCCTCAGGCAGAGTGCTCCTCTAGAGCACCCACTTTCTGCTGTTCTGGAGTTTGTTGTGGGGAGCAGGGGCTCCCTTCCAGCGGGGGCCCCAGGGCCTCAAGCCTCTTAAAGGGTGGTGGTCCTCCCACATTCCTGACTTATGCTCATCTCTCCAGCACCGCAAACTCAGGGACAGTGAACCCGAGGGGTGAGTAGGTTGGGCCAAGAGGACTGAACACCTGGACACAGCTGGGAGAGACTCCCGCCAGGCTAACCCTACTGCCTCCCACCCCAGCCAGGGAACCTCATGCTGCAGTCAGGATGGACGATGTGAGTGTGGGGTGCCAGTTCCCATGCAACCCCTGCTGGCTCACACCAGGCCTTGGGGCATAATGGGTGTCTCAACAGAAGGCTTCCAGCGGCGGAATCCTAGAGCCAAGGGTAGGATCCTGTGCTCAGACGTTCCGCAGGAGCTGCAGGAAGGCAAGAGGCCCACAGGCATTTTGTGAAGGCCCAAAGGGGCCAGTACCTGCTGAAGCTGCTGCAGCCACTCTCCACTGCTGGCCGGGGAGCGCTCCAGTCTGCCGGGCTCCCAGCTCCCAGGGCCAGGCATAGGGGGTGGTCTCAACTCCCAGGGCCAGGCACAGGGGACTCCCAGGTCCCAGGGCTAGGCAGAGGGGGCTCCCAGCTCCCAGGGCCAAGCAGAAGGGGCTCCTGTGAACGGTGTGAACCAAAGGGGCCTAAGGGCCCCCAATGAAGCTGGAGGGAGGGGACTGGAGGGCAATTAGGGAGGGCAATTAGGAAAATCATCTACTGTGGAATAGAAGGCAGGTTAACCAGCCAGGTCCCCAGCCACTGCCCAAAGGCATGGAGAGCCACTCACAGACAGAGGGTCCGAGGTGAAGGCAGCCACACTCCGGCGCATTTCGTTTTCACTGCCTCGAAGGGGGATCAGTGACACACTGCCCAGCCGGACCTCAGGCACCGCCCGGGACACGCGAGAGGGCTCTGAGGGCCACACCAGGCCGTCGTGCTGGGGAGCAGGGAGAGGAGGGGGCTGGGCTCAGCTTCAGCTCAGCCAGTCAGCCTCAGATCTGCCCACCCTTCCCAGAAACGCCTCCAGCTGTGATCTCAGATGACTCCCTCAGCTTTATCCCAGCCGATATGAGAAGCAGCTGTGGGGAGAACATGACTGCATCTCTGGCAAAACATGGCCAGTTCTGTGACTCAACTCCCATCTCCAGATCCACAAACCCCTCCAAGAACCAAGAAAACATTTCTCCTAGAGGAACAGGTCTGTGCCCCCTCTTAGGAACCGGGAACTACAGAATCCACCCTATTTCCTTTTAGGCTTTGCTTACCAGGAAGCTCAGGGCTAAAAGAACACAGCTCCAAGTAAGAACTCAGCCCACCCTGGTTGTTTTGTTTCCCTTTTTCCTAAACACTTGTGAACTCTTACGTGAAAAAACTCTGTCTTAACTCATCTGTTTCAAGTCTAACCCAACCTCTGGCCCTGTTCTGGCTCAGGAGTCGACCCACCATGTCCCTGCCTCAGCTACCACAGCCACTGCCTCACTGGCCTGTTCACCTCTGGCCTCTACCCTCCATCCCTCTTCCTGACGCTGCACCCAGAGTGAGCCCTGGCAGACTCCAGCCTGCACTACGCTCTACCTGAATGCCACCCGCGCCCCCACCAGGGTTCCCCACTGCCCACTGTCGAGTTCAGTTTCCCTCACATGGCCTCCAACGCTCTCTTGAGACTCTGCTCCTCACTCCCTTTCCTGTGCGGACTTCCTGCACTCCTGGCTTCTCCCCTCACAGTCCACTGTAACCATCTATGCTTCTCTTGCGCATCTTCAGACCTTTGCCTAAACCGCTTCCCCTGCCTAGAAGCTGTTTCCCTCCTCTTTGCTTGGTGAATTCTCCCACAGTGCCTTTTTTTTTTTTTTAACAGAGTCTCACTCTGCTGCCCAGGCTGGGGTGCAGTGGCACCATCCTGGCTCACTGCAACCTCTGCCTCCCGGGTTCAAGTGATTTTCCTGCCTCAGCCTCCCAAGTAGCTGGGATTACAGACATGCATCACCACAGCCGGCTAATTTTTTATTTTTTTATTTTTTTAGTAAAGACAGGGTTTCACCATGTTAGCCAGGATGGTCTCGATTGCCTGACCTCATGATCCACCCACCTCGGCCTCCCAAAGTGCTGGGATCACAGGCGTGAGCCACCATGTCTAGCCTCTCCCACATTTCCTAAAACTCAGATCCCCTGGGCTCCCTGCTGCCACCACAGCACTGATCACACTGGGCTATCACTGGCTGCTTCTGGGTCTGTTTTCCTGTCCACAGGAGGAGTGCCCCAAAGGCAGGGACTGCATCCTGTCTGTTCCTAGCATCCCTGGCTTGGGGCGGGACTAACAGTAGGTGCTAGGAAGGGTTTGTTGAATAAACTAGCAAATGAATTAAAAGTAACTCAAAAACCTTGAAGCAAGGGGTGGCCTGAGTAGTGCAGAAGCCAATGTGCCCATTCTCTATAATAGAAGCCTCCAGGGACCCACCCCACACCCCACACTCCGCATCTGGTACCTGCACAAACAGGAAGGTTGCAAACCACTCCCGGAGCTCCATCTGCGTGTCACAGCAGAGGTACCTGCAGGGTGGGACGCAGGCCTAGATGATGCCAAAGGCCTGGCTGAGCAGGGAACACTGTGTCTACCTCACCACCCCAGGGTCTGCCAGAGGACACAGATCTGAGAAGTGACGAGGGACCCGGTAAAGGGGAACGTGCCACCATCTTTTCTCAGTCTGGGGTCTCAGGACGGGCTGCTCACTCACCACTGTTGCTTCTCATGTTTCTCTGTCTCATGCACCACTGTGAAGCCCCAGCTGCAGACGAAGAGGGGAGAGTCGAGTGTTTGACAGGCCACAGAGGTTCAACACCCAGGTTCCCAAGATAGAGCCCAGAAGCCACAGCCAGAGCCGGAGCCAGAGTTCAGGGCCTTCTCACAAGAGTGGCATGCCCTGGCCTCTTCCTCTCTCAGCCCCCACCAGCCTCCCAGTCCCCGCCTCCTGAGTAGTACGCCACCAAACCCAGCTAATTTTTGTATTTTTTGTAGAGATAGGATCTCAACACATTGCCCAGGCTGGTCTCGAACTCCTAGGCTCAAGTGATCCACCTGACTTGGCCTCCCTAAGTACTGGGATTACAGACATAAGCCACTACACTTGTCCGAGAATTTGTGTTGAAGGTGTGTCCAGGTGATGTTGCTGGTCTGGGGACCACACCATCAGAGCCCCTACACCGACCTCTGTCAAATTAAAATCCCCAGCTGTGCCTCCCCAATCAGTTCTGAGCCCCACAGGCCCCTGTCCAGTCCCAGCTTACCAGGTGGGTGGCCGGAGTTTCTTCTTCACTCCCAGATAGACTTTGAGACTCTTGACGGGCCACTCCTTCTCAGGCCGGTGACTCTGAGGTAGGGTTGGGAGAAGAGGGCACTTTAGTCTGCAGAGTAGACACTGGGGCCACTCAGCCCACTGGGCACCTCCCTCCTCCCTCCTCCCACTCTCGAGCCCTCATTGCATCCCAGCACAGGGCGCCTCCTTCAGGAAGCCTTCCTGACAAAGCCCTCCCTGTTCACAATCCAGCCCAACCAACCCCCAGCCCTAGGCCCCCAAGGCCTCTCTCCCTGCGGCAGTATCAGACAGTCAACCCTCAGTCTCCGAGGCAGCCGTCCCAACTGGGACATCTGTAACAGCGAATCCCATCACCACCCTGCTGCCCTGCAAACTGGAGAAATGACTTAAGCATCAGCCTGAATCAGATTGTATGTGGAGGGAGAACTGCACATCCTCCCCCAGCACCAAGCTGGAATAAGCAAATGTGATCAGGGCGCCTCGGTTGGCTGCTCATGTCTGTGTTCATCTCAGGTTACTCATTTCTCACCCCTCTCAGCCCTGTGGAGTCTACAGGGTTGACTGTGTGGACAGAAGGCTCGAGGGACCAGCAGTTACTAGCTCTTTGCTTCCACAAGAAGCCTAATGACTCCAGCTGAAGCGGAACAGCTGTTCAATAGACCATAAGAAGAACTTCCCAATGGTCTACGTCAGGAAGCAAGAGACCAATGTACTGGGGAGGGGCACCAGATTGCCAAAAGGTTCACCTCTGGCCCCTGCCTCGGCATATGGGTCTGGGCTTGAAAGGAGCAGGCTGGCTCGGAGGCAGAGGGATGGGGGCAATGACCCCCAAGGAAGAGGCTGGTTGGAGGTCAAGCTAACAAGGCTTCCTCCTGCTCTGGGAGCCACTTGCTTAAAGCCCTACCCCTACCAGGCACCCCTGAAGCCCACAGGGGCACCAGAGTGAATGGCAGGGAAGGGAGATTCACTTACAACCGAAACTGGGGGTCAAAGACTGAGCCACCTCTCCCCTGTTCCCCACCATGGCTCCCAGCCACCTCCAGGCATGGCTCCTCAGTAGGGGCCAGAGAAGGGACTAAGAGATAGCCAGGGGAAGGGGAAGTTTCAGGAACTGGTGGACTTCCTGTGATATCACAAAAGGATGGGCTGCCTAGAGACTGGTGGAGACCTCTGTGCTCTCAAAGGGGTGTGGCTTAGGAGAGGCTTAGTAAGGATTTTTCACTCTGCTTTTGCCCCGACACCCCGATTGGAAAGCCCCATGTCTTCTATAGATAGCACCTAATCCGATGATGGACACGTGCCCAGGAGGGCCTGGAACCAACTGGGCTGCAAGCATGGGACACTCAGGGGGGCAAACGGAGGAAACTGGGGGGTGAGGGGGATGGGGAGGGTGGATCAGGCTGCAGACATGGAAGAAACAACATGTGGGACAAGACAAGGAAGAAACCTGCATGCATGCAGTGAAGAAGCAAGGCTGGGAGCAGCGAAGCAAAAGGTCTGCAAACCAGAAGACAGCTGGTGGCAGAAAATGGAAAGACTGAGATAGAGGCTGTAAGAGATTCAGCTCCAGACACGGAAAACACAAGGCTCTGGGCATGATGAAGGAAGGATGCGGGGAAAACTGGACTGCAGGTACGGGAGGAATCAGGCTGAGGGGAGGGAAAACAGGCTGTGGGTTTGGAAGAAGTCAGGCTGTGGGTGGGAGGGAACAGAAGTAGAAGGAAGCAGTCAAGTGAGTCTAGGGTAGACAGGACTGGCCCAGTCAGGAGCGGAGAAAACTCCGGGAATCAAGGCATTCAAACCAGGCTGTGGCTCCGAGAATGAAAACAACCCTCAGGCCTCCGATTCCTTGGGGTCTGACGTGCGTGGCACGTGTATGATGTGAGGGCGACTAACACAGGAAGTCTGCAGAAGTGGGTCTTAGGAGGAGAGGATCTCAGTCAATGCAATCTCCTTTTGAGAATGAATCCCCCAAGGTGGAGTGTAGTGGTGCAATCTCAGCTCACTGCAACCCCACCTCATAGGATCAAGCCATCCTCCTCCTCAGCCTCCTGAGTAGCTGGGACTACAGGCATGCACCACCACGTCTGGCTAATTTTTATAGAGACAGGGTTTCGCCATGTTGCCCAGGCTAGTCTCAAACTCCTGGGCTCAAGAGATCCTCCCACCTCAGCCTCGCAAAGTGCTGGGATTACAGGCATGAGCCACTGTGCCTGGCCCAAGAACTTCATTTCTTTTTCTTTTTCTTTTTTTTTGAGACGGAGTTTCGCTCTTGTTACCCAGGCTGGAGTGCAATGGCGCGATCTCGGCTCACCGCAACCTCCGCCTCCTGGGTTCAGGCAATTCTCCTGCCTCAGCCTCCTGAGTAGCTGGGATTACAGGCACGCGCCACCATGCCCAGCTGATTTTTTGTATTTTGAGTAGAGATGGGGTTTCACCTTGGTGACCAGGATGGTCTCAATCTCTTGACCTCGTGATCCACCTGCCAAGGACTTCATTTTTAACCAGACAGCTCATGTTTCCAGCATCTCCAGGTCACTAGTTCCAGGTCACTGGCAGACAATGAAGTTTACCCTTGATGTTTAAGGATCTCTGCTGGAACCAAGAGCTTTCTAGCATGTGCCTTTTCCAGGTGCCTCAGGGTCTTTAACAAGAGGAGACCCCCCCCCCCCCCCAGATAAGGCACAAGTGAATCACCTGTGCCTGAATCACCTGGATCCTGAATCACCTGGGATTGTCCCAATTTCAAACATTCTGTCCTACTGCCACATAAACCAAAAAATGCCAGAATTGCTAACACTGTGGTAACCAGCTGATACCTGCTTAGGGCCTCTGCCAAGCCAGAGGTGCTGGCTGTCAATGGGGCATGGGGAGTACCACTCACCCTGTGAAGCGGCCCCTCCTTGCTGAGTTCTCAAGTCTGAGATAATCCAGGAATACAAAGCTTGCATTTCCACACTAAGAAACCTGGGTGTGAGTCCCAGTCTACACTTACAGATGGCCTTGGGCAAGTCACGCAAAGCCTGTTTTCTCACCTGGAAGCAGGGACAGCCCTCTTCCTCAGAGAATAGTAGTAAGGATTCCATGTCTCAGAATGTGAGGGGCCAGTACCAAGCCTGGTTCCTTAGGGAATATTAGATTGCATCCCTTTTTCCAGCTCTCCTTCCTCCTTATTTCCATGCCCAGGGAGCTGCAGCTGCCTTTCCGGGTGCCTCAGCCATCCTGCCTCCCTTCTGCCCACAGTGCGGGTCCTAAGCACTCCTAGAGGGAGGGGCCCGGGAGATAGCATCCCAGAACCAAGAGGGATGGATTGGATAGGAGGACAGGCTCAGAAGTGAAGATGTGATCACAGAGGAGGGCAAAGGAGAGAAGAGAAGGCGTTTCCCACAGGGCTAGCAGGAGCCCAGGATGAATCAATAGAAGCAAAAAATGCAAAGAGAAGGAGATGAGGTCCTGCTCTATCCACTGCTCCTACCATGGCAGCCAAGCCTGTTGAGATGTCCTCAGGAAATGCAAGGGGCAGGAAGGGGCTGAAGACACTGGGGGTGGGGTGGGGGGCGGTGGCTGTGGAAGCTCAGGCTAGACCACCGGGCTTGGAACCCCATCTCCGCTGCCCATCCTGCAGGGCAGCAGTCCCCAGTCTTTTTGGTATCAGGGACTAGTTTCGTAGACAATTTTTCCATGGGCAGGGGGATGGTTTCAGGATGAAACTGTTAAATCTCAGATCTTCAGACATTAGATTCTCTTAAGGAGTGTACAACCTGGTTCCCTCGCTTGCACAGTTCACAGCAGGGTTCACACACTGATGAGAATCTAAGGCTGCTGCTGACCTGACAGGAGGCAGGGCTGAGGGGCAATGCTCGCTTGCCCAACACTCACCTCCTGTTGCATGGCCCTGTTCCTAACAGGCCACAGAGCAGTTACTGCTCTGTGGCCTGGGGGTTGGGGACCCTTGCTGCAGAGCATCTATGCTTGTGGCCCCCAAGGCATAGCTGAGACCCAAAGGGGCATCATGAGATGCAGATTTCTCAGCAGAACCTGAGCAAGGGCCTTCTCCCAGGCAGAAGTACCCACCTAGGAACAGGGCAGCCCCAAGGGAGGAGGGCATGAGCTCTCTCTCCTAGGAGTGTGCAGAGCAGAAACAGCCAGCCAGGGAGGACTCAGAGAGACTCCTACCCTAGGTGGGGGTATCCCACAAGTCTCTCTCGTCCCGCCCTGGCATGTCAGGGTCAGGGCAGTAGCAAGAACATTCCAACAGTCCTGGAACTCTGTCCAGGGTTGGAAATAGGGTGGCTCCAGGTATGACAGGAGCTGAAGATCAGAGCTCTAATGCAAACCTAGGTGCCACCATTACTGGATTTTTAACTTCCACACTGAGTCCTTTGGAAAATTCTACAGCATTGCACTGATAGGGAACCTATCTTAGGGAAAGGACCCTGGGACAGGATTAGGGACAAAGGGGAGGAGCTTAGGTCCCAGGCCCCAGGATAGGATACCAAGTGCCGACTGGCAAGGGGACAAGGAACCATGCCTGCAGATGGCCAGGAGCTCGGGCTGTGTCCCCATGCTACCACCCAGCTCACTTGGCCCCCAGGCGGTGTAAGGCAGCTGGCAGTCAGCCCACAGCTACTCACGGTCTCAGGGGCCCCGCTCCATGGCCTCTGGCTCTGTTTGATAGAGGATCAGGGTTATGGAAGAAGTCCCAGGTCTAGAGTCAGGACAGCACGTGTGGAGATGTGTGGGGCTTGAGGGGGGGAGGGGTGTGTGTGTGGCACGCATGTGCAGAAGGTGGGGAGTGCCAAATGGAGTCTGGGTTGGGAGAACACCCTTCACGTGGACAGAGTGAGTGAGTGAGGGTGGCCTGGGAGGAGTATGACGACATATGATGTGACAAGGCATGCATGGGCCACAACTTGGGACTGTCATCAAGTAGCAGGTTCCTGTGGCTGCAGTGATACAGCACAGACACAATGAGACAGAGCATGGGCATGGAGTGGTGTGATGGCATCCGGGTGCCAGGGCCTAGTGGAGCTACAGGGCACAGTAAAGAGGCCATCCAGGGCCATAGCAGTAGGGGTCTTAAGAGTCTACAGTTCTCCCCCACTGCTGTGCCATCCTGAGAGCCTGCAGTGGGAATATTTCCACTTGCGGACCAAGGGGACTCTCTGAGCACATTCAGGGGTATAGATGCCCACCCTGGGGCAGAACCTAGTGGAGCCACTTACCCGGACCTCCTTGTAGAGCCGCAGGCAGCTGCTATTAAGGATGAAGTAGCGATCGTGGAAGCCGCCTGAGGGCAGGCCCAGGCCCAGAAGGCTGCGGTCCTCACGGAACTTCATCATGCCATGCTTGGTGTCACCAACACGGCTGGCTGGGGGGGGACCGGAGTGGGCACAGGCTGCAACAACCCCTACCTGGGGCTGGGTCCCAGAATGAAGGAAACTGCCCCATCCTTCCCCAGCCTTTCCATAGAGGCCCACCCATCTGGCACCCTCTGCCTGAGCTGCTCCTACCTGGCACCCCCAGGTCCCACCCTGGCTCTGGAAAAGGGGCCTTCCCCAAGCTTGGCACCACCTACCCAGGTATAGCAGCATAGCCTCCATGGCCTGGTGCTTCTTCACCACCAGATGGCTGTCCGTGCCCAGCCCGTGCAGGATGGGCAGTACCTTCTCTGCAAAGTGCAGGGGGCGCTCTGGGGAGAGGTCACACCTATCGTCACTGGGACCACATGGCTATCAAGGGCTGGCACATGGGCACATGTCACCCACACATCCCCTGTCCACTCCAACCGCCTGCAAGTGCCATGACACATACCACCACCATCATGACCACCCTTCCCACAACCAAACTTCAGGCTTGACACACCTGGCTGTGACCAAGGCTGCTCAAATTCAACATGTAAAAAACCACGCCCACGATCTCCACCCCCACCCTCCTTCCCACCCTCCCCTTGTCCCCCATCAGAGAATTACCACCACTGCCACCACCACCACCACCACCACCCCCCCATGCCAGGCTGCTCAATCCAGAAACAAACCCCTCCTCGCTCTCCCAATCCACACATCGGATCTCGCTGCTCTGTCCATCTCCACTGCTGCCCCCCTGCCCATGTTACCGCCTTCTCCTTGGACTAAACCATGGCCTTCAAAGTGTGCTCTAATTTCCCTCACCCTCCTCTCCCCACCCAGCAGCGAGCAGCACTCTTCTTAAACACCTGCTCACTAACCCTCTGATGGGCTTGCATTGCTGTCAGGCCCTGCGTGGCTGCCTCTGCCTTGATCTCCAGCCCCACCCATGCCACCACCGCTCACTGCCCTCATCTCCTTGAGGGCCACCACAGGGCTTTTGACTTCTTCACCAAGTAGCCCCTACTCTTCCTTCCCATCCTGTCTTGGGGAAGATCTGACAATGCCATGGGTCTCTACTCCACAACAGTTACCGCATCTGTAGTTGAACATGTATTAGCGTGATCATTTAGACTGACACCTCCGTCCCAACAACACTAACCCCCACAAGGACAGGGACTGTGTGTGTGGCTCCCCAGCCCAGTGCCTGGCACTCAACAAATACAGTAAAACTAATGAACAGATATAGCCTCATCCTCTACTGCCATCAAGACCACCTTTACCACAAAATACCTTTCTCATCCCAACCATCACCATTGTCACTGGCACCTGAGAAAGCACCGTCATGGCCAACACCATCTACCCCTTCACTGTCCCTTCTATCAGTCACATGACAGGCATCACCTCTATCCCTGCCAGCACCCTATCACCACCATCACAGGGATCACAGTCTTCATCACTGTGACAGCAACATGTCATCTAAGCCCTTTTCACCACCCATCCTCATGTACAAGGTAGGGAAGGAAAGACTGGGGCTATAGGCCATAAATGAGACAAGACAGGCCATACCACACCCTGCACAAGCCCAGGGTCACCTACCTGCCTCTTCCCTCTCATTGACCTCAAAGCAGGTCCAGTAGTCCTTCTCCCTGATGCCCACATTCCGGCGATCCAGGATCTCCAGGGTGAGCTCCTCAGCAGTCATGGATGCTGGGATCTGCAGGGACCAAGGAGAAGGAGATTAGCCTCCCTGTCCCTGGCCCCTGCTCTGCCACAACCTTGCTGTGTGATTCAGAGCCTAAGCCCATCCTTCTCAGGCTCTTCTGGAGTCCTAGGATACAGAGGGGTGTCTCTGAATGGTTCTTACAGCACCAGCCAGATACAGGTCCCAAACGGGTCCTCTCCTTGGGATGGAAGCACTGCTCCCCTGGCCATCTGAGCCTGCGCCTGGCCCAGCCTGACTCTCTGGCCCCTTGGCTTCTAGGTCCCAGCAGCTACCTTGATATGCTGCTCAGTCTCTGCCTTCTTCTCCTCCAGATACACTGTGCAGATGAAGTCACCAGCATGCTGTAGGGAGACAGGGCTCAGCCGGGGGCCTCGGAAATGGGTGCAGGAGGTGGGCCCAAGCCCCCCACCCAGGCTCCGGCCTTCACCTGGGTCCCACTGGCAGTGCCAGCCACTCGCATCTTCACAATGGCAGTGATCTCCTCTCGCTGCTTCCTGAGCTCCTCCTCATCCACCTGGGAAGGGGGAGGGGCCGGGACTGGGCGTCACTGACATCTCTGCCATCTGGAAGGCTCACCCTGCCCTCCACTGCCCTCTGGCCAGGGACGCACACTAAACACCACCACGTAGTGGTTAATGAGGTCTTCCACCACACGGCCAGCCTTGTAGTCCTGTCCGTCCGTCTGAAAGAGCGTGGGCCCAAACACAATTGCCAGGTTGTGCACATTCATCTGGTTGGTGTCTGAGAAGCACTGGACACTGGAGAGGGGAGGAGAACAGCCTTGAGTGAGGAGTCAGGCTGAGCTTCCCATCTCACCCTGCTCAATTCTGACTGACAGGTCCAAAACTGGTCTGCTCAGAGGGGACCACTATCTAACAGGGTAGGAACAGTTTTTCTGGCCATGTCTTGTGTCCTGGCAAGGAGCAGGGCTGGGAAGCTGGGAGATCTGACCAAGGTACCCTGGTTCCAAGTGGGAAAATCCTCTACAACAGTGATCCCCAACATTTCTGGCACCAGGGACTAGTTTCGTGGAAGACAATTTTTCCAAGGATGGGGCGGAGGAGCAGGGGATGGTTTCAGAGGCATTAGCTTCTTATAAGGAGCGAGCCACCTAGATCCCTCGCATGTGCAGTTCACAATAGAGTTACGATCCTTTAAGAATCTAATGCTGCGGCTGACATGACAGGAGGCAGAGCTCAGGCGGTAATGCTTGCTCACCCACCACTCACCTCCTGCTGTGCAGCCTGTAGGTTCCTAACAGGCCACGAACCTGTACTGGTCTGTGACCTGGGGGTTAGAGACCCCTGCTCTACAAATGTCCAGTGTTAGGGCAGATCACAGTGAGTACTTGGTGCAAAAGCCCAGCTGGCTTCCAGGGGAGGGCAGTCAGCCAGGGTGGGGGTAGAAGGACCTTCACCCCATCCCTCCAGAGTCTCACAATGGTATCGCCCCTCACCAGTACAGGTGGCTGATAAGGGCCTTCACCGTGGCCCTGTTGACAGGGGGCAGCCGCACCAGGAGCTCTCGGTACCTGGAGACTTTCTCTTCCTCATCCTCAATCTCTGGGTGGGGAAGATAAATCAGGTCAGAAACCCCCTATAACCATCTTCCCCCACCCTGCCTGGGCTTCTCTGCCTCTCATACTGGGTGGCAGCAGTCCCTGTGCCCGCCTAGTCAATGCAGTCCAGGCTGTCAACCAGGGTAAGGAACTCTCAGTCTTCCAGGGTCCCTGCCTCTGTATGGAATGGCGATGCGAATGAGGAGCAGAGGCAGGGAACTGGAGCCTGTCGGTTAGGGTGCGCCTAGTGCAAGTGCTAGCAGGGAAGGGCACAGGAGTCCAGAGGGATGGGTGGAAGAAGCTGGGCAAAGGCTGCAGGGCCCACCTGAGGCTTCCAGCCAGGCTAGACGCTGGGCGCGAGTGAAGAGTCCATCGGGCAGGTCGCGCAGAAAGCGCTTGAGCGCCGAGGAGACATCATCCACGTGCTGCTCGCCCTCCTTGAGGTGCACAGAGCGTGCGTCCTGCCGCAGGCTCTCCAGCAGCCGCTGTGTCTTCGACGTCTGCCCACACTTGCGGTAGATGCCCTCGGAGGTCAGACCTAGGGAGGGGGCGAAGCGTTTGGGGCCTGAGGCATTGCATCATGGGGGGGGCCACGTGGCTCGGGTGAGAAAGGCGGCTCTCCGGGAGGGGCGGGGCCTGCACCCCAGGGGCGGGGCTCACCGCACTGCGTGATGTAGTCCACACAGCGATATACGATGACCGGGATATCCGAGTCCCCGAGCTGCTGCTCCGACAGTGTGTCCCCCAAGCTGGCGGCTGCTTTCTGGATGGCCCCCAGCCAACCCATGAAGTCTAGCCGCCGCTCGCCCTGTATGTACAGTGTCCTGGGCCAGGGAGAATCAGTCACTGAGGGGCCTATACCTGTCCCACCCTGTCCCCAGGCCCATCAGACTGCTCCAGGCTTCTCGGATCCCTTCAGGGAGGCCGTGGCTCACCTCCTTCGCTCCACTAGCACCAGCACCTGGTTCTCACTGTCCCCCTGGATGGCTGTGGAGGGGGTCAGTCAAGGTGAGGCCCAGGTCTTGTTCCTGATCCCCAACCTGCTCCCTCCCTCTCTCTGGGCACACACACCCCTGGGACCCACTCGCCAATGTATAGGGTAGCTGAGATGTACCCCAAGGATAGAGGAAATGAAAGGGCAGGCTGGCGGCTCTGGCCAAGGCCAGGCAGAGCTCAGACTTCCAGGCAAGGGCTGGGGGCCTGGGAGCCCAGGCAAGGGTGCCCTGGAGGCGGGGGGGGGGGGGGGGGGGGGGGGGGTGGGGTGCGGCCCAGGTCTGGTCCACGCACAAAGCTCCTGCAGTTTCCGTAGTTGCAGCGGCTCTTCACAGGGCCCCTCGGGGAAAACAGCTCTGAGCTCTGAGCCACTGAGAGAGAACCAGCCCTCTTGGGCCCGCTGTAGGCTTAGGCCAGCTTTGTAGGGTAGGCGTCCAAGCCGTTCAAAATCACAGGCCAGCAGATCCTCGGCCAAGGGAGGCACAAATGCCTGGTGGGGAGGCAACCAGGCGGGGGAGAGAAGGGATAGCATCAGCCAACGACACTGCCGGCCCTCAGCTCCGTGGCTTGCAAGCAGGTGCTCTCTTCCCACCCAGCTGCCTTCTCTTCTCTTCCCCAGGGCAGAACCCAGCCCATTGATGGAACCTGGGTACCATGACCCACTTCATACCCACTCAGATGTGCCCTTCCCAGACACCTTCAGGAGAACTCTTCTCTGGGCCCCCACAGCACCAAAGCATTCTTGCCCTCTGTTGTGGCACTAGTTACACTGTTACTGCCACCTGAACGCCACCCGTATGGGAGCTGTCTCCCTGACCCTGAAGAGCTAGGACTAAGCATGGTTCATCTGGGTCCCCAGGTCTCCGAGGGCTGACTTTTAGGAGGCTCACAAGACAACTGATCAATGGACAAGTGAATGATTAAAGTCAGAGGCTGTCACAGCACAGGGGACCCCACAGGCACCTGACTATAGTTCCTGCAGCAGAGCTCTCCCCTGTGGCCTCCCTGCCTCTTCCCTCCAGCCTCTGCTTGCTCACCTCCAGGAACAAGAAGCACACTGCCCTGGAGGTGGCACTGTCCATCCTAAGATGGCTCTGTCACTCACTGTTAAACACTTATTGAGCACCTATGAAGTTCAAGGCCCACAGCTCTTCTTCTGCAGAGCTAAGATAGGTCTGACCAACCGGGGCTGCAGATTACACTAGGCCCTTGGTGGGACAGGCCTGCTCCATGTCTGCTGCCCTCCATCTAGCTTCTGCTCTCTGAACAGGGGATCTGGGATACATGGGATTGGTCAGGAGGCCCCACCTTCCCCCATCACCCACCCTTACACCCACCCTGCTACCCCAGGCCCACCTTAGCAATGCACGTGACCCATTCATGAGCCTGCTCTGCACTCTCCAGACCAAACAAGTACAGCCGTTCTCCCTCCGTGTACACCTCAAAGGTGTGCTCAAAGCTGCAAATATACAGGCCAGAACTCAGGCCCAGCCCACCCTCAGCCCCCACCATCAACCACCATCCTCTGCCCCTTCCACACTGCCATGGCACTTGTCCTTACTCTGGCCCCCTAAGTGGTGGTGGAAAAGTCTTGGGTTGGAGCCTCAAGAGACCGGGGTTGGCCTTGTGCAGCCTCAGTTTGCTGTGTGACCCTGGGGAGGTTCTCCCCTTCTCTGGGCCTATTTCCCTGTGGGGGATTGTACCCTGTAGCAACCACAGTCTGTGATTTGCCCAGGGATGCTCACCCATGGGTGTCAGGAGGGGGCACTGCCAGGCACACAATCTCGCTGGCCCGAATCTCTCCATTGGGGCTCACTGCCCGCTCATTCTCATAGTAGCTCAGGACTCCGTCACTAAGGACACACCAGCGCCGGCTGAACTCTGGGGAGAATTTGGGCAGGGGAGCCATCAGGGAGCCCCACCACCACCTGAAAACCACCTCTGTATCCTCCCAGGGCTCCGGCTCCCATCTGATGCATGTGTTCTTCATTCTCTCAAATTTCCCCCAAATCCATCCACTTCTCTGCATCCCCACCATGCCAGCCAGCCCACAAGTCATCCTCTCCCCCAGGCCTCTGCAGCAGCCCCTTCTAAAATCCCAGAGTGATCTAGCTAAAATCAGACTCCATCCTTCCTCTAACCAAAACCATTCCATGGTCTTCAGGACAGACTCCACGCCCCTCAGCCTGCCATTCAAGGCCCTGCCAGGTCTACCCCTGCACATCTCTCCAGCTGCCTCTCTGCTGGACACACACATCCCCACCCAGCACTCAAAGCTTTTGCAAACTCTGCCCCCTCCACCCACCACCTAAATGTCATAGAAGCCTTCTATGCCCCAACCTCCTTTTCCAGAAGCACCCATCACTCTACTCTGCCTCCTCCTACAATGGCTCTGAGAAACTGACAAGGTCCCATAAAAGAAACAGAAATGGGAATCTGGACCAGGAAAGGGAATGGAAAGAATAGAATGTCATGGCCATACAGGCTTGTACAGTTCACAGCACTGAGCTTTACAGTGGCTCAGAGCTTCCTGGCATCCACGGCAAAAAGGATGACTCAGGCAGTTACATAAATGACATTATCAGGCAGAGAGGGCAGACCTGGAGCAATGAGGTTGTGAACAGCATGGAGTTCCAAAGAACCGCTTTGGGAGTTAGAGGGCTTCATCCCCAGAGGAGAGCATGCAGGACATGCTGAGGGACGTTGTCAGTGATGACCTACCTCACAATGCTCCCACAGCAGCCTCTGCCTCTCATCCCATCTATGAGGGCCTGCATTTGCCCTTTGAGGCAATGTGTCCCCAGGCCTGTCCCCACAGATGGGCTCCCTCCAGGAGCACCAGCTCTGCCTGAGTCATCCTTCATTCTGCAGAATGCCCGCTGTGTGCTTGCCACCGTTCTAGGTGCTGGGGGCTACAGACAGTGGTGGCCAAAAAGAAGAGAATCTATAGATATATACATTAATGGGCAAATGAATACCAGGTAAGTAGTGTGAAGAAAATGTAGGGTAAAGGGAGAGATGGGGGTGCTATTTTGCATAAAGTAGTCGGGGATAATGTCTCTGCAGTAGTGATGCAGAAACAGAGGCCTGACAGAAGTGAGGGACTGGCTGTGCAGATATCTGGGGGAAAGCATTTCAGCCATAGGGAAGGGCAAAGATTCTGTGGGTGACATGGCATGTCTGAGAAACAGTGAGGAGACCAGCAGAGCTGGGGCCGAGTGATTCAGGGAGTGGTTCAGAGAGGTCACGGAAGTGGTGGATTTTCTTCTGAGTTGGGGAGTGAACAGCAGGCTGAGATCAGAGAGGGATAGGACTTTCGGATCAGTCCTCAACTCCCTACAGCCACAGGCTCTAACTACCAGATGCTCAGCAGAGCCCATACCCCGTAGGGGCTCAATAAAGATTCTTTTAGTCCAAAGATTCTTTTAGTCCAAAGCAGGGCACCTGCTCTGCAGTGCCATGCCCCACCCCCACTCCCACCAGGATCCTTTATGAAGCACTTACTGTCTACCACAGACTATATACAGGAAGCCCTCTCAGGTGACTCTGCCATAGTCCACTTGGCTGCTTCACAGGTCCACCAGTCGGGCCATCCCTGGCTTCCCTGGCCCTGCAGCTTCCACGCACAGATGCATGGGCCAGCGCAGGGTCTGGGGCAGCACCCACCTTCCCGGGCCCGGCGATCCTGCAGCAGCTTGCCAGCAGAGGCAGTTTTGTAGAGGAAGCCACTGTGGCTCACGGTCGGCAGGACAACTGAGTAGTGCTTTTCCAGGGGCTTCATCGAGTCCAGCCGAGGCACCTCTTTGGAGGCAGGGAAAGGATGGCCGGTCATGCTGGACAACCAAGGGCCTGTCCCCACCTCACTCCCACCTGGGCTGGGCATCCAGGCTCACTTTCAAATCACCAGCCCTAGCTCCCTAACTGGCAGCCTCAAGCTCCCCCTCCTATCTCCAGGGTCTTGCCCAGGCTGTTTCTCCACCTCTCCCCACTTGTGGAAATTTACACCATTCCCAAGGCCCAGTTCCAGCACCTCCCCTTCCAGGAAGCCTCCCTGACTTCCAGCCCACCCCACTCTCCAGGTTGGAGGCACAGGCCAGGCACACTGGCATCAGGGGCACATTGGACAAAGTCAGTAATAATCCCTGGAAAGAAGCTTGTCCCAGATGGCGTAAAGCTCAAGGCGGCAGCCTGACTACAGCCCTGCTCCCCAAGTCAGCAACAGGGAGGTTCTGCCCCCAGTCCAAGCCCAAGCCAGCTGGGTGGTCTCCTGTGTCTCCCTGGACACCTCTTCAGCCTAGTGCACTCCGCCCACCCATGGCCCTAAGCCCAGAGCCCCAGCCGCTGAGCTCCACCCTTAGTCCTGGGATGTGGCCCGGGAGGCTAGGCCTGGGCCACAGACTGCGCTGTTCAGTCCACTGCTCCCTCCTCACCCACCCCAAGAGGGAGCCAGTGGTACCCAAACCAGGTCTAGGATTGAGCTCCACCAGGCAGAGCAGCAGACAGGGCTGCCATGGTAGGTGACCCACACATGGAGAAATTTAATGCAACACCCCACAGGCAGCAACACAGACACACTCTGCACACGGACAAGCTCTCCAAAGCCCTCAACATCTCCAGAAACACAGATCCAGCGCAGCTCAGAGGTACACAAGCCCCAGCAGAGCCACCAGCCATCCTGAGATGCCCACACTGCAAGTCAGGAAAGTCATCAACAGAGTCACAGAGACAGAGACACGGAGGAACATGCATACGAAGCACAAATACACACTGACGTGCAAACCCCAGCACATCCCAGCTCACACACAATTGTACCGCCGGCCCTTGAGGAGCTGCAATCACACCCTGAAAGCTGCACGCAAATCAAACCCCACCGGACACACACAGCCTGGCGGACCCCATCCTCTGCCACACTCACCTGTGGTCCGGTTGTTCCGAAGGAATTCCATCTGCAGCGTCTGCCCCGCCTGCTCTGCAAGAGCCAGGGGCGTGGGGGCCTCAGGGTCCCCTGAGAAGCAGCTGATCCCAGCCCCACAGCCCAGGAGTGCCTGGGTCTCAGCCAGGTCTGTGGTGGTGACTGCAGCACACAAGGCCTAGGAAGAGGCAGGGGAGGGTCAGCCCAAGGAGTGGGGGGCCCACAGGGAAATCGGGTGTCAGGGAGGAGAGGAAAGAAGAGGAAGGAGTCGCCCAGGCCTGGAGCAGTCCATCCTCAGACTGAAAGAGAGAACAGGAAGGATAAAAGAGAAGGAGAGAGGGAAGAGAGAAGCCAAGGGGAGGAGGGGCAAGCAGGAGCTGCCTAGCAGAGGCCAGGGGGTCCCAGCTGCCTGGGGCCTCACCCCTGCTGGCGGCCTGGACACAGCTGCCCAGTCAGCCACAGAGCCTCCAGAGGATCTCAAGCTCCCTCTGCCTTATGGAGGAGCAGGGGGGTGCTTTGTAGCTAATTCCTCCCACATTTGAATTCCTCACTGCCTGCCCAGCCCTCCCAACCAATGGGAGTTGCCGCCCTCTTGGCTTGCAGACTAGACTGGGTTGGGCTGGGAGCAGGACGCCTGGGTCCCTGGGAGGTGGAGGCCTGGCTCCCACCGGGCTTCTAGCTGGACTGAGTCTGCCTAGGAGGGGCAGTTTGGGGGAGGGGCTGAAGGCCAACCAGAGGTCACAAATGGCATACCCCTGCTTTGGAGCTGGCTGCCTCCCACTCAGGCCCAGCCAGATCAGGGCCTAAGGCTTGGCTCCCAGCCTGTCAGGGCCTGGGGCCCATATGGAGCCTCATCTTGAGTGGGGTGTGGATGGGGGTGGGTCAAAGCAACCCAGCTGTTTTTCATGAGCCTGACAGGAAATAGCATCCCCATCAAGTTCACTCCTTTTGGCAGGATTCAGAAGCAATAGGACGGGGTGCGGGAGACTGAGGAATCGGGAGGGAGACAGACAGATGCTGGGGACATAGCCTTGGCCCAAGGGTCAGGCCTAGCTCCTCCCTGCATGGCCAGAACTTTTCATATGGCTTAGCCAGGGCCCTTCTGCCCTCCAAACCTCAGTTTCCCCATATGCCAAAGCAGCTCCCTGAGCTGGTAGATGAGATGGGTTAAGACAGCATGAAGAACAGGGCAGCAGAGACAGTGGGTGGTCCCAAGGGGCCCCAGAGCTGCAGTACCCTGACCTTGTCCAGCTCCTCCTGGTTGCCAAAGAGTGGGTGGTAGCGACGGTACTTGCCCTCACGGTACTTGGCCTCCAGGTGGCACCGCCGGGTGCTGGGGCTGCTGCTGGGCTGTAGGGCCTCACTGGGGGGCACATTGGCTGCCCAAAAGCGGTTCCCAGCACCATTGCCCAGCTGTAAGAAGAGCTGTGGGGTGGGCAAGAGGTCAGGGGGGCAGCTGACAGCCAGGGGCTGTGCCCGGCAGAAACTTTGTTTCTGAGGTTGTTAGGCATGGGGCTGGGAGAGCCAGGCCATCTGCCCACTTTCCCAACAGGGAAGGTAAGGATGGATTGGCCTGCTATTGGCTAAGGATGCTCCCGCCACCAGCACTGGGCTCTGAACCTAGGTCCCAGGAGGTCGGCAGCCTGACAGGTGGACACCTCAGGCCCTGCACCTGGTCCCGGGGGCCTTGCTGCTGCCCCGTCCAGTTCCACATCTGGGGCTCTGCATTTCTGAGGCTGTGATAACTGGGGGTAGGTGCCTAACCTGTCAGCCAATGGAGTGGGCAGGGATTTCCAAAACCTCTCCTGTCCCTGACATTCCTCTCTGGGCAAGAAGCATGGGGGCGGATTCTGGGTGAGTGTGGGGATCTAGCATTCAGGGAATCAGTTCCTTCCTTCATCCGGCTCCTCATTCCACAGCCATTGGACCCCCTACCATGACTCTTTCTCAGATCCTGTTTGGGGTGCTGGGGTCACAGCACAGGACAAAGCAGAATAGTCCCTGCCACTACTGTGTTTTCCAGCAACTTATCTTCTCTCCCTGAGCTTCGAAGTCTGTAAACTGGTTAAATCTAATCCTAACTCCTAGCTTGTTTTGAAAGTCAGTTAATTAGCATATACAAAGTCCTTAGTACTTATGTGCCAAACACACCATGGGGAGGTGGGAAAGGGGTGTGACACCCCAAGTGCTCTGTAGTCTGCAGCCTGGGTCTAGTCTCCCATTGCAGGTTCTCCCCTGTATCTACCCCATATGGGTACTTGGGAGTTTCCAGTACAGGGGCATAAATGTACACATGTGCACGCACAGCATACACACATATACCCACTGGTGCATGTGAGTTCAGATGAAATGAAGGCTGAGAACCTCTGAGGGGGTGTGCAAGGTAAGGGAGAAGTCCCTGGGTCAGCCAGGAAGTGGAATGGAAAGAGGCAGGGGTGGTGGTCAGTATGCATTACTCAGGCAGATTACAGCCCTGCCCAGGACCTTTCAATGGATGAAAGTTAAATTAGATCAGGGGTCAGCAAATTATTTCTCACAAGGGCCAAATAGTAAATATTTTAGGCTTTTTAAACATATACAGTCTCTGCTGCATTTTCTTCTTTTTCTTTTAATACAACACTTTAAAAATATAAAAACATTCTTAGTTCACTGGCTAGTTTCCTGACTTTGCCAAAAATTGCTTTTCCCAAATCCCCGCCCACTAGATTATCACAAAGGGTCTCTTCCAGCTCCAGGGTGCCGTGGTCAGTGAGATAGGGAGGGGGCTAGGAAACCCAGGCAGCTGTTGAATGGGGCAGACCCCAAGTACGGGTGGCAAGCAGGGGCGTCCCCACCTGGATAAGTGTTTCTGTCCACACCTTCCTGTCCATCTTCAGGCTCCGCACCTTGGAGATGCCGGCACCCAGGCCACGGTGCTCTCCTGTAGACACACGGCCAGACCTGGAATCACCTCGGCCCTCCCCTTCACAGGAGCACTTACCCAGCCCCAGTGTCCACTGGGACAGACAGGAATGAGAGGCCACAGACAGGCCTAGTGGGTATGCCTGCTGGCAGCTCTGGAATTCAGCCGGGCACTCTTGCTCCCTGCAGGGCAGGACTGAGCCCTCACCTGGGCCCCTGCACCAGCTTCCTGCACCTGGCTCCCTGGAACCATGCTTGGCCTCTTACAGGCCACACTAACACAGCCCTGCCAGAGGTGATCTCTTTAAATTGCAAATCCCTGACTTCCAGTCCCTGCTTTCACCCTCTAGTGGCTCCCAGAATTAGATCACAACTCCATACCTGCTTCCCCCTCCATCATCTTTCTACCCAGACTCTCATCACCCATGTCCCCATGGCCACTCCTTCCTGCCATTAGATCTCAACTGGCATGTCACCTCCTCAGAGAGGGCCTCCCCAGCACACTTCCCCAGACTTGCTCCTCCACCTGGATCCCCACATCCAGACGCCTACAGCTGCCACGTAGACTACGTCAGCTCCCAGGAGGACCGAATCCCCAGCATCTGGCAGTATCTGGCACACAGTGGACCCTTGATTGAGCAGATGAATGAACCTTGGGCTTGACCCTCTTACATTTCATCTTCCTCATCCAGTCAGTCATTGTGAGTTTTCCACCATAGATCCTAAACAGCCCTCAAATGCTCACAGCTTCCCCAGGCCAGGCTTCCTCCTCCTCCCTCTCCTGGATCCTATGGCAGCCTCCTTACTGGTCTCCAGTCTCGCCCCCTCTAACTCAGCTTCTACCCACCCGCCAGGTTCTGACCAATAAATCTGACCACATCCCTGCCTCCTGTCCCCCTCCCTCTGCATGCAAAACCCTGCCCGGCTTGGCCCCTGCCAGCTCCTCTTGCTTGGCCACCCTTATTCCTCTGACATGAGAGGAACACTGGACCCCAACAAGCCTGGGCTCAAATCTGGGCTCACTTACTTGCCAGGTGACTCTGAACAAGCCATTTCCCCTCCCTGTGCCTCCATGTCCCATCCATAATGGGAGAAGTTGAACCCAGCCTGGCAATGTAAGGTCTCAAGGCTAATCACAGGGGAAAGGCCTGGTGTGCAGAAGAAGCCTCATCAACAGCAGCTCTCTGACTGCTGTCTCTGCTCTAGGCCCTTCTGCCAGATAGGACACTGGCCATCCAAACTGGCCAGCCCTGCCATGCCTCTGCCTGGTGCCCTGACCCCCGAGTACACACCTGCACAGCGCTTGCAGATGACAACACAGAGGTTGATGGAGGCCCAGTCAGGCTGGGCAGCCCCACAGTCAGCACAGAATCTGTTGGGGGCTGCAGCCCAGATGCGCTCGGCCACCTCCGAGGTAGACAGGGCCTCGGCGATGGCTCCCTGCATGGCCTCCAGCCACTGCTCCTTCTCTAGCTCCGAGTCAGCAGAGAAGCTGGGGACACAGGAGTGGAGAGGTTGACGGGGATGGACTCAGAGGGATTTGGGGGCAGCATGAGAAGGTACAGAGTGAAGTGGGGGACAAGGTGTTGGGAGCACTTAGGCAGAAGAGGGAGGCATCCCAGGTCTGGTAGGGAAGGTAGGCATGGACAAAGGCAAGGACACCAGGAACCTGAGAGCATATGGGGGCAGAGGAGCCCAGTGGGGGGCTCTGCCCAGCCCGGGGAATGAAGGCTGCTGGGAAGAAAATGATGCCTGAGCTAAGACTGGACAGATCAGAAGGGCTGAACCAGGTGCAGAGATGAAAGGGCATTCTAGACAGAGGGAGCAGCATGTGCAAAGGGGCAGGATGGCACATGGGGCATTCCAGGACCTGCAGACAGAAGGGCAGACTGGCAGAGAAGAGGCTGGGAGGCGGACAGGGACAGGCCTGCACCGGGCAGAGGAAGCACATGCTGAGGACAATGGAGAACCCACAGAGGGTTTCAGTGGGAAGGAGGGGAAGGTACAGAGATGTCTTTAAAAGACCCCTCCACCATTCCCATCCTCATTCCTATCCCAGCCCAAATGTGATATGCTCCATGACTCCACTCCACAAAGAACTCCACTGGCCCAACATACCCAGACACCTGTGGCCGCCACAGCATGCCCTGCTCTTCAGGGTGGGAGGCCCTGGCTGAACAACAAATGGATGACTGTCCCTAAAAAGTTGTTTGTTTGTTTTTTTAAAGACCCCTCTGGCTCTTTCCCTACCACCGCCAAGTCACACATGTGACCCTGAGTCCACTTGACCCATAACTCATTGCCACAACTGAGGAAGGCATCACAGCTGCAGGAGTGATGGCCGTGAACCCCACTTTATGGAGGTGCTGGAGATCTCCTCCTCCACAGCCTCGCATGTGGAATTCGCAAAGCTGCCAAAGGCGGAGCCAAGCACCAAGCTCGCCTTCCTGTGCTTGCGCCTGAGTGCAATGAGCCACTCATGCCAGCTGGGGGAGGCCCTTTGTGCAGAACACCAAGTCCACCTCTTTAGTGTTGGGGCAACAAGAAACCAAGAAACGGGCAGCCATCTCAGACTGACAATCAGAGAACACCCATCAGGCGCGGCTGCAGCTGTGTGGTAGTTAAGGACTATGGCAAAGAATCTCAGGCCAAGGATGTCATCAAAGAGAACTTCAAATACAAGAAATGAGCAAACAAAAACAGCTCTCAGCTAGGCATGGTGGCTCACGCCTGTAATCCCAGCACTTCGGGAGGCTGACGTGGGCAAATCATGAGGTCAGGAGTTCAAGACCAGCCTGGCCAATATGGTAAAACCCCATCTCTACTAAAAACATACAAAAACTAGCAGGGCATGGTGGCACGCACCTGTAATCCCAGCTACTTTGGAGGCTGAAGCAGGAGAATTGCTTGAACCCAGGAGGTGGAGGTTGTAGTGAGCTGAAATCGTGCCACTGTACTCCAGCCTGGGTGACAGAGTGAGACTTCGTCTCAAGACGAAGGAAAAATAAGATCCCCATGGCAGTCAAAGTAGTTGGAGTAAAAAGGATGAACAGGCATGGGCAGCCCGAGGGTAAGGAGGCAGGCAGTGGGGCCAAGGGCCCACTAGGCCCAGGCCAGAAGGGTGACAGCAGAGGGATGGGGCCACATTGGGGTTAAAAGGAAAGGCACGGGCCCTTCCCTCTTGGTTGGAGAGACAGGCCCCTAGGAGGAACAGGTTGCTGAAAGGAGGAGATGGCCATAGCTGTCAGACATGCAGGCCAGAGCTCAGGAGAAAGATCCCGCTGGAGACAGAAACCTGGGCTAAGAGCAGAGAGCTGAGAGGAAGCGGGGTGATACTAGTACTTATTGAGCAGTTACTACTCAGTCTTACAAAGACTTCCTCAGGAAACTGAGGCATACACAGGACAGGTGATGTCCCAGGTCACATAGCTAGTCACTGGTGGACCCAGGATTAGAAGCCAAGCACAGTTCAGTGCCTCAGAGGTAGCAGCTGAAGGACTAGGAGTGGGCAAGGCTGCCCAGGGAGAGGGCAGAGGACAGAGAAAGACACTGGGGGACAGCTGAAGTCAGAGGAAACTGAGATGGCAGAACCTTGGGGGCCCAGAGACTGAGGAGCCCCTTCTTGAGAGACAAGAGCACCTTCCAGGGGTGGCGCAGGCGCAGGGGCAGTGGGTGCAGGAGGCCAGCACAGGCAACCCCTGAGCAGCATGGCAGGCAGGGGAGGACAGCAGTGACCAAGTGTCACAGGGGGAGAGAGACCTCTTAGAAGGGAGGGAGATCAAAGCGGGTTAGCGAGCAACAGGAGAGGGGCTGTGCAGGGCAGGGCAGGGAGAGGGAACCCATCCCTCAAGAAGGGACAGCTTCCCACATTGCACAAAAGGAAAACATCAGGAAGGAGTGAGGGCGCTGGTGAGCCAAGGGGAGGGAGGGTCACCTGAAGATGCGGTAGGGTGTGGTGAGGTCGAAGCTGCGCCGGTCCACTTCCTTCACGTTGCCCACGCTCATATCGATGAAGGTGATGCCAATGCCCAGCTGGTACTCCTGAAGGGTAGGCGGGAAGGGATGAAGGCAGGGCTTTGGGGACAGGGCATGAGGCTCGGGAGGGGAGAGGAAGGGAAGGTGGTGCAACTCAGGGACTGAAGGGTGCCCAGGAGAGGACATGGAAGCTGGGCAGAGTAAAAGGCTGTGGGTTCAGGGTCCACATAGCAATGAGCAGAGGTGCACGGGCGCAGGAGTCAGGTCAGGGATTGGAGGGCACTGCTCAGAGCCAGGGGGAAGCGGTCAGTACTGTGAGGAGTGAGGACACATCCAGGCAAAGGGCTGGGCTCATTGTAGGAAAAGAGGGAACAGAAAAAGCAGGGCTCAGGCCCCAGGTGGGCCTGGGGCAGGAAGAGAGGGCAGGATAGGGCGGCATGGGCAGGGGAGAGGTTCCAAGGCCCCTTAGCACCTCTCGATTCTTGTAGAGCTGCACTTTGTCCCCGACCACGGCCACATACAGCTTATTCTTGAAGCCACGCAGCTCCAGGCTGCCAGCGCGGTCAGGCTGCTCTGAGCCTGGAACTCCAAGCAGATAAGCACTAGACAGCCGTGCCCGAGCACGCTGCTCAGCCATGGCCTGCTGCAGGGCCTGCATCCACTCCTTCCGCTCCACTGCAGGAGAAGGGTGGAGGAGCAAGCTCAAGGTGGGCCTGGCAGGCAGGGAGCCCCTCAGGGGTCTCCTGGCCCTAGGCTCCTCAGGCAACACTTCTGCCAGAAAGCCCACCCAGATTGCCCCCATCACTTTGCTTGACTTCTCTGACTTAAATGAGCTCAGGCTCCAATCCCAGCTATGCCGCTGATGCTGGGCAAGTGACTTCACCCCTTCAAGCCTGCTCCTGCTGTAAATGGGATCAGGAGGTTCTTAGGACTCAGTGACTGTGCCAAGCACTGAGCCGGTCACAGGGGGTGCCCCCTTCCTCCACCCACCTCACAAAGGGATCACGCCTCCCCAAATGTGATGCAAGAGGGTAGATGAGCCATGCTTCTCCTCCCCCTCCTCTAGCCAAACTTCCAGTCTTCTCTCCCCATTTCCACACAACATCCCATACTCCCCACCATCATTCTCTGCCCGGAAGGCAAAGGTCCTGTTGTTTGTGATCACTTCAAACTTCTGGTCCCCGATGGCAGCCACACGGGAGATGCACGCCACAGAGATAAAGCGCTTAGAGTAAGCATCCTGGGGGAGAGACAGGAGCTGTATTTTGGGGTCCAGCACCTCCTCGCTGGCTCCCCCAGCCTTAGCTGAAATTAAGGCTGTAGCCCTATCTCCTGCAGGTGATCAGAGACAAGACCCTGTGCTGACCCTGACTACATTCCTCGGCAGCCCTGGCCAGGAGGACACGGGTCAAGGGGTCAGACAAAAGCTCTGGTGAGGACTCCTCTGGGAAGGGATGACACCTCGCTCCAGTGCAAGGGTCCAGCCTAGGCTGGAGTAGGGGTCGTGTCAGGGACTGATGCAGGCCTCACCTTGTTACTGTCAAAGTACCGCAGGTGATCAGCATCCAGTCTCACCCATCGTTTCTGATAGATGTAAGATCTAGAGGTAGAGAGACAACAGGCAAATGATGGGGAAGGGAGGACAGGTTCCAGAACCACCCCAGCCCTCGGAAGCCACACTCAGTGTGAGGATCAGCCAGGTTCTAGGGAGGAAGGATCCCAATGGTCACTGGCAAGAAGATGGACTTTATCTACAGCAAGAGTGATTGAAGTGAGACTCAAAGTAGCACATCTCTCTTTTTTTTTTTTTTTTTTTTTGAGACAGAATCTCACTCTGCCACACAGGCTGGAATGCAGTAGTACAGGCCTAGCTCACTGCAGCCTCATATACCTGGGCTCAAGTGCTTCTTCCACCTCAGTCTCCCAAGTAGCTAGAACTACAGGCATGAGCCACTGCACCCGGCTAATTTTTAAATTTATTTGTAGAGACAAGGTCTCGCCATGTTGCCCAGAGTGGTCTCAAACTCCTGGCTTCAAGCAAACCTCCTACCTTAGCATCCCAAAGAGTTGAGATTATAGGCATGAGCCATCAAGCTCAGCTATTTCCCCATTTTCAGGGCAATAAAATGGGTCTGGAGGGACTCATCGGTGGTCGCAGTCTGCCTGGAGGGAGACCTATGCAAATCATCTCAGGCCCTTCTGGTTTTTAGATCTGTGATACCAGTGTCCTGGAGTCCCGGACACTGCTTGTCCCCATGCAAGTCAGGAACCAAGCACAGCAGGAACCAAGAGGCCTCACTCACCCCTGAGGTGGGTTCTTATCTAGCCAGCCGGCCTTGATGACTGGTGTGATGGGGGTGGTGCCCCCAGGTGGCCCGTCCATGGGGTGTGGCGCAGCAACCGGTCTGGGCAAGGGCAAGCTCAGGCTGCTGGTGTGCCATCCGCCACTGGTGAGAGAGGAGGGGATGGGGGCCAGGCTGAGGAGGTGAGGATGGGGTGGGCTGGGGATGGGCTGGGCAGTGGGAAGGAGGGTGGCCAGACACTCACTTGGGGACGCCCTCATAGTCGTGGTCATCCTCATCCTCATCCCCTTGGTCGTCCCCAGACAGTTCCTCCCCCTCGCTCAGCAGACTGGCCACACGCACGGCCCGTGGGATTTGGCTCGGTGGGGGCTCCTCCTGCCCCCAAGACCCACTCAGCGTCATCCTTCCCTTCAAACCCCAGATCACACCCACCCAGGGGCTGCCACGCCCCCTCTGTCCACATAGCCCAAACCCACGCAGCTCAGCAGTTTTAGTTCTGTTTCCTCACATTTCCCTCCCCCTGCCAGCCAAAATCACACAGGGACCCAGATCACAGGGACAGGAGAGCCAGTGGCAGACACGGACCTAGGACACAGACAAAAACAGAAAGATGAAGGAACAGAGAAAAAGACTGAGGGCTAGAGAGACAAGACAGACAGACAGAGGAACGCAAGAAGTGAAACAGAGACAGACACTCCAGGACAGGACACACACTCCCAAAGCAGAGGGTCGGGGAGGCCACGTGCCCACACCCATGGCCAGGGCCTGGGGGAGCCACACCAAAGCCCGGACCCCTGGCCCAGGGAGCTGTGGCTGCATGTGACTCCTGACCCCTGTATGGCAAGACAGCAAAGTTGGGGAAGGAGAAGCCTCCTAGGAAATGGCTGCTCACTCTCTGTCTGGTGGTCCCCAGGGTCTGACAGGCAGCTGGGCACCCCACATACACACTGACAGGCAGACAGCCCTATGCCCAGTCCCACCTTCTTGGTCATCACTCTGGCTGGGGCCCCTGGCCCCTCCTCTGGGACCTCATCGTAGTCAGAGTCATCTGGTAAGAGACGGTTTGGGGGGACTCAGGGCAAGGGGCCTGGCATCCTCTCCTGGGGTACCACACTGGGCTTCACAAAGCCTCCCCCAGGCCAAGACCCCCACCTCTACCTCTCCCTGGCTTTCAGGAAAAGGTGCAGGGGATAGGAAGTGCTATTTATACCCTCAGGCCCCATAAGACAGCACTAAGAGGGATGGCCAAGGAGTGGCTGGGCCACCAGAGAGGTCTGAGACAGCAGTGAGGTTAGGGGTTGGGCTAAGGACTGTCCAAAACATGCTAAAAGGGCAACACAAATCAAGAAATGCTGCCAACCCCAGGAAAAGCAAACCACCCAACATCATGGAAATCAGACCATGGACAAAGCCAGCCATGGCCCCACATTTAACAGTCAGGAGGTAGGACAGGTAGGTGCTGTCTCCATCGTGAGGATGAAGAGAATGGCCCTCAGGGAGCTGTGACCTGCCCATGGCCACACAGGGGGCTGGTGGCAGGGCTGCACAGAAAGGAATGTGATCCTTGATACCCTCCCGGGGCCTGATCCCAGAGATCCCCAGCCCTCCCCAGACCCACATCCCCTGGCTGCAGCACTCACCGAACTCTGGCAACAGGCGTACCGGCTTCGGAGGTATCTCCGGGGGACAGGGAGGTGGAGACGGGGAGTGGGGAGGCGCCTGGGGGAGGGGGGACAGGGGATCCTCAAGCTCTGGCTGGGGAGGGGATGACAATGATGGCAGCAATGACTCCTCTTCCTTGGAGGTCAGGCTGGGAACAGAACAAAAGTTGGGCATCACTAAGCAACAGAGCCGAGACTGAAACCTACTGAGCCCCAGCTCAGCCAAACTCAGGCACTATACAAACTCACAGACAGGAGCCCTCCTGCACAGCGCCCTCCTCACCTCATCTCCCAAATGAGGTGAGGCAAAATCCCTGCCGGTTCCCCAAAGCCTGAAAGAAGCAGGCACCCTCTTTGACCTGAATGAGGTGGTCACCCATCCTCAATGCTCTAGCTTTTAGTCACATACACCCACTGGGTCTCCACATTGCAGGAGGGATAAAGACCAGAATGGGGAGTCAGAGAAGGCTTCCTGCAGGGGGTGATACTTGACCTGAGCTTTTAAGGATAAGAAGGCATTGATGACAAAGAGAAGGGACAGGACTGAAATGGGCTGCAAGGCCTGAGGCACAGACCAGAGCCTCAGAAACCAATTCCTAAGGCCCCCAACTGTGGGTCTCTGACTCAAGATCACCTTGCTCTTGCCCAGATTTGGATATTCACTACCTCCTGGTGCCCTCAGACTCTTCAAACTCACCTCCTCCCACCAGACCCATCTCCCACAATACCAGCTCCTCACCTTTGCTACCACTCCCCAAGGAACCCTCCCCTGATTCTCCAAGGCCAGGTTCAGGGTCTCCTGGGCTCTCACAGGCATACAGTGTCCCCCTCTGTCTCAGCACAGATCACACTGCTCCTGACAGGCTGTCTTCTGAAGGGCTTTGGCATCAAGGACATGAATTTGAATCCTGCCTTAGTTTCTTAGTTCTTGTGTGTCCTGGGGTGAGCACCTAGCCCCTCTGAGCCTCAGTTTCCTCTTCTGTAAAATGGGGGCTCTATCACCGACCTGGCAGAATGCTAGGAGGATTAACCAAGACAGGAGGTGTCACGTGCCAGCACACAGGATGCGCAGGCACCACATGCTGGAACAAGGTGCCTGAGCCCTGGAGGCCTGGCCCCACCAGCTGTCTCTGCTGGTGTCCTGCAGGGGCCAAGGAGGAGAATCAGGGTGGATGGGCAACTTTTCCCTGGGTTATTTTTGGCCTTGTCTGTTGCCTTAATGTTCCTGACAATGGCTGACGGTGTGCGGCTACCCTGAAAGCAAGGAGGGGCTGGGAGGCAGTGACAGGGTCTGCCTAGGCGTGGTCATGATTCCAGATTTTTACTCCTGCGGTGGCCTCCACCAGTAACACCCTCCTCTCTGTTCTCTGCCTGGGAACATCCACACATTTTTTTAACCTCTGGGTTTTTTTCTTAAGAGACTGGGTCTCACTCTGTGGCAGACTGGAGTGCAGTGGCATGATCACAGCCTCAAACTCCTGAGCTCAAGTGATCCTCTGATTTCAGCCTCCCCAGTAGGTGGGTCTCAAGGTATGCACCATCACACCTGGATGATTTTTAAATTTTTTTTAGATACTAGGTCTCATTATATTGTCCAGGCTGGTTTTGAACCCCTGGTATCAAGCAATCTTCCCACCTCCCCTGATTCTTCCCACCCACCCTAGGAGGTGGGAAGCAACCCTTTAACTCTAAAACCACACTGCCCTTCTCTGAAAATCTTCCCTGACCCCTCCTTTATGCTGCTCTCCATTAAGAGCTTCATACAAATTATTCTAAATGACATTTTTCAAAGTATTGCCTTTGTGCCAAGATCCAAACCCTGACTCCAAAGTTTATGAGCTTCTTAGGACACTTGGCTTCTTCTGCGTTGCCTTCTACTGCACTTGTCTCTTCTCCAAGTGGAGATAAAAGTTAAGCAAACCCCTTCCTCTTCTGTGTGAAGAGCTGACCTTCAGCTAGGTTTCCAGCTCTGTTCCCCTGGAAACCTGCAAACGATAGCATGTCAGCCACGTTACCAGGCAACCACTGCCTCTGGCAGCACGGCCCGTGCAGGAACAGTGTCTGGACGGAGAGACACCATAAGCAGGTTCTATACCTGGTAGAGAAACTGGAGCTTTGAGCTTCGCCCAGTATGGTGTTCTGCAAACTGGGCACATCCCATGCAGGGATTTGAAGCCACGCCTGCGGGGATGTTAAAAAACGACTGGCCTCTTAGGCAAGGGCTTTCAAAGCTGGCTGGCTCCCTGTAAGTCACTATCCGCTGTGAGACCCAGTCCTTCACTCCTGAGCTGTCACTTGGAGGGCCACAGAGAACGGCCCCTGGACAGCTACGTGGGCTGTGGCTCGGATCACTTCAAGGACCCCTCAGCAGATGAAGGCCTGTCACTGCCCTGGTGGCAAGCTGCTCCCTACCTGACAGGCCTCTCTGGGAATCTGAGGCCAAGGCAGGGGCCATGGGAGTCTTGAGTCGGAATGGACCTATGAAGACCCCCTGGTAGGCACTGTACCAGGCTGTCTCCCCCACATGACCTGAGTCCCTTTGGGGCAGGGGCAGCACTGGACTTGGTCCCCCCAAAGCCCAGTCAGTAGCAAGAGTATGCGGGCCAGGTGGGTGGACAGGTGGGCAGGTAGGCAGCAGGAGGAAGGGAAGGCAACAGAAGGGGTAAACAATGACCAAGCAACCGAGAGAGTGCCCGAAGGCCCAACAGCATGACCTGGGGTGCTGGCCCTAGCTGGCCACCTGCGATTCCCTTAGAGACTTCTTGATGAACAAATCATTCTATCACTGCTGCCTCCCAGAGCCCAAGAGGAAGGGGCTTGGAGGCCAGGCCTGGGATCAGCAGAGAGCAGAATTCTAAGTTGTCAGGCCACAGCCAGTCAGACCTCAGTCCAGGGAGGTGAGGACAGGTGCCATCCCTCCAATGCCAAGCAGGTTTGAAGGGGCCTGGCTCCCAAAGCTCCCCCAGGTCTGAAGGCCAGAGCTGAGGGGAAGGTGGTACCATAGAGAAAAACTGCCCACCTGCTCATCCTCATCCTTGGGGTCCAGCAGCATCGGCCCCTCCTCTGGCACCACAGTGAATCTCCCACCACTGTCCTGATCTGCTGCAAGGGGTCTGCCCATCTTGGGCAGCAAGCAGGTTCCCTGAAGCAAACTCCACACCCTCCTTCCTCACTGGGGTATCTCCAGCACTCAGCAGGGACTTACAGACACCTGGATTCATTAACTGTGCATGTGTGTCCACATGTGTGTTCACAGCCATTTTCTAAGCACTTGACATGGATTCTTCATTTATCTACTCATTACAGGTGCTCTGTAAGGTAAGGCTCATCATGATTCCACTTTACAGAGGAGGAAACTGAGGCAAAGAAATGCTAGGTTATTTGTCCTTGGTGCCACAGTGGGAATTGAGCCCTGGCAGCCCAGCACCACAGCCGAGCAAGCAAGGCCATGCCAGAGTCCCAAGCCTTCTCTGAGGCCAGCCTCCTCCCACAGGCCACCAGGACTCAGGACCCAACTGAGAGGGAACACATCACTGCCCTGACCACAGCAGGAAGGGAGAGGGAAACTGATGCAAAGGGTCCTCTCCCAGCAGAGCTTCCACAGGGAAGGGACCATGTCTCACGAAGGTGGTATAAAGGGGCCTCTCAGAAGCCTCCTGGGAATTCTAGCAACCTCCTCCAGGAAGCCTCCTGGCTGCTCCCTGCTTGCCTGCTTACCACAGGATATCAGGGCACTTCTGAGTCAGGACGAAGCCCAGGAAAGGAGAAGTGCTTTCAGGAAGGCACAACATATGGGAAAACCCCAGGGAAGGGGCAGTGACCCCTTACCAAGAATAGGGCCCAAGGAATGTTCCCGCCATAACTGGAGTCCCAGCCTCTCACTGCTTGCAACACTAAGAGTAAGACCCTGCTCCAAACCCGAGGTCCAGCTGAGGCCCAGCTGGGATGTCACTCACTGACATCTCACCCACTGGGGCCCATCCTCAATGGCAATACCTCCAAGCTTTCACTCACAGTTTCCTCCTCCTCTCCCCTCTCCCTCCCATAGCCCACAGAAGCCCACCTCCACATCAAAATGCAGCTCAGTGGGCCTCCTCCTCTAGGCGACCTCCAAGATTCTCCCACAGAGCTTCTCCCCACTCACCCTGCATCCCTGGCTCCCTGCTCCTTCAGCCTTTTCTCCTCTACCCAAGGGGCATGTGAACCCACCTGCTCACCCACTATTCCCCAGAGACTAGGCATGCCAGGCAGCTAAGGTGCTGGTTCAGCCTAAATCTGTTTTATAGAATCAGAAAAAATATACAGAGCAGACCTCATGCTGGGGGTTATGGGACATGGGAGGGTCTCAAGCCACAATGGGTCAGAGGAGGGTGACCCCATAATTAATCGTATAAACCAGAAACATAGCCAGGCACAGCGGCTCGAGCCTGTAATCCCAGCACTTTGGGAGGCCGAGGCGGGTGGAGTTCAGGACGAGCCTGGCCAAGATGGTGAAACCACATCTCTACTAAACATACAAAAATTAGTCAGGCATAGTGGCAGGTGCGTGTAATCCCAGCTACTCAGGAGGCTGAGGCAGGGAATTGCTTATACCTAGGAGGCGGAGGTTGCAGTGAGCAGAGATTGCACCAGTGCACTCCAGCTTGGGTGACAGAGCAAGATTCCATCTCAAAAAAAATAAAAAATAACCAGAAAGACCTCTAAAAGTTAAAAGAAGCACTAGTAATAACTACGTCAGGGCAGCAGGCACCAATAGGGCCTGTCCCAGGTAAGATGAGATGTGTGGTCACTCAGTTAACTAGAAAGAGGGCTTTGGAGCCAGGCAGACCTGGGCTTGAACCCAGCTCAAACACTCATTGGTTTGGGACCTTGAAAAGATCCCTTCCTCTCTGAGCCTCAGTTTCCTCACTGATCTGCCTCCAGGCTACTGATAATTCAGCAAAGGAGGGATACTTGCACCTGGCATCAGCACAACCTCTTTACCTCGAAGGAGACCCAGGCCCTACAGGCTGAGCCAGGAACCAGCTTCATAGCCTCAGCAGCCTCTCATGCCACCTCCTTCTTCACCCCTGCCCCTTCCTATCTTTCTATCTACACCAATCTCTGGCCAAAAGAACCAGGTCTCACTTTGAGGAGAGGAAGGCCACAG